GAGTCAGGTGATGACGTATGAATCGACCAAAAAGTTTTCTCATTCCAAGAGACTTCAAACCTTCAAGGACTGTGCTATGGTGAACTCCGAATGTGACAGCTAGTTCACGGCTAGATTGAAATGGATCCGATTGCAATGCGTGCTTCAGCTTGTCCAAATCCAACTCACGGGGTCTCCCAGAGCGATCCTTTTCATCGAGCGAGAAGTCATCTTTTTCGAAACGATGGAACCAATTGCGAATAGTATTGTAGTGAGGGGCATGTGTGTTGTACACATTCTTCAAGAAAGTTTCCGAATCCTTCATCGTGGTGTGAGATAGGAAGAGGTAAATCAAAACATGTCTGATGTGAATAGCAGTGGGAACAAACATATCGTTTCAATTACAGATGAGGAGCAGGGAAGGAAATGGGGACTTGTTTATATGGAAGGTTCTTATCACCTTGTTATTCACTAGAGTCGATATCATACACAGCCTCCATATACGAGAACAGTGATTAAACAAACAGAGTGACAAAGACTTTCCCGCCAACCTAATATCTGAAGAATTGCTTAGCAGAGATTTGATTTTACTAGTTCATGAATTATTTGAACTTTCCTATTGAGTATGTTCACTTTTGACTGGTCTAGATTTCGACTTTCGTACTTCTTGATTCCTATGTCCTTTTTTCCTTCACATCACTTTGTTCTTCCAACATTACATGGATTATGTCATCAATTTGTATTAGAATTCAAATCTAAAGTGTCACTTCCAACAATTCTCTTTCTCTTGTTTTTGTCTTCTGTTTCTTTTTTCCTTTCTACCCATTGTCTTCTTCCTAAAAACAACATTTGCAATTGACACAATTTCCCCGCTACAAAAATAGTTTATCAAATCGAGAGGGTACCAGAGAAGAACTTTGAGCACTCATTCAATTAAGGAAGGGTTTTCTGAAGCTCTTTCGCCTTCAAAAAAGGATCCGGGGACCTTTCGAAATTTTGAGAACAAATGGATTGAAATAGTATGTGAGAGGCAAGAGGATTGGGAGAACATTGAAAAAGAAAAATGGGGCCCATCAAGAGATTGAAATCAATTTTTGCAGAAACATTGGCCATCAAATTGCCGTTTCCGTCCGACGTCTTCTTAAATCGCCGAGGAATAGTGTGTCAAAGATAAGACTGAATGGAAACTCAAGAGGAACTTCTTATGGGACGCCTGAGTTGAAGTAGGTCAAGTGACCAGTTGAAAAAATGCACAAAAGGGTCCATGAATTTAAATAAACTAGGTTCAATTTCGAGAAATATTTCTTTTATAAAAATGTTTATCATAGAAATAGTTACAGGCCGTATGATTACTTTAAATTAATATCTAAATTTTGAACTTTCAGCACTCCTGATTCATCTCGCAGCGTGTCATTCACCGAAGCCATCACTTGGCCATACATCGATGAGGATATCATTGAGGAATAAACTTAATTCCCTTTTGAATCTTTTAATTATCTCATGGAAATCATCGAAGTTTCTTTTTCATGTTTTTTTCTTTTCTATCCCACTAATTCTGAATAGATGTACCGGTTTGTTCCGGTGTTTTCTTCCTGTCCCCTGTTTCCTTGACAACTTGTGTCAAATGACCTTTTCCCTGTCTTCAAGACGTCTTTTTCGTGTAAATAATTTTGGTTGGGCTCCCTGTTTGGTCCCCCCGATGATTCAAACTGAATACTGTTTCTTGGTTCAATAAATCTTGTATATATCTGAGGCCATATGCACGATTTCAGGACCTGCTCGTAACAATATCGCTTCCTCGCGAGTGTAGGATGCCATAACCTTTATTTCATCATCGTCATCAGCTACTTTGCATACATTCATGTG